CGTTTTGCAAACCCCGGTTGACATCCGGGATGCAGTGTCTCATCAGCGGCGAGGCTTTGCTTGAATCAATGCTAGTGGACTGCCCGATTCTTAAGGCTAGTATTTTACCAGGTAAGGCCCACTTTGCTGAAAAGATATCTTACAGAAGCGACCTAGCCACATGTGATAGCTCAACGAAATGGCTTATCATGTGGAAATGTATATGCAATATATGTTGATTATAAATGTGGAGGGAAAAACCAGACGGAGAAAAATCCACGCAACCACGGAGAGAGAGCGAGACACGCAAACTTCAAATATACAGCAGCAGGCGTCAGGGTCGGGATTGAGAACACGACCTCCTGCATCCCAGGCGAGGTAGTTAACATCGCACCACTGTGGCGCCCTGATCATTATTTTGAGTTGTGTATTATTATACAGGAAATGACTCTCTATTTACTTTATGGGACCCAGTTCGATGCTAAATTATTCATAATAGACAACTCAAAATAACCATCAACGTCAAGACAATATTCTCCACAATGACGCGAACGACTTTACTGTCGTCCCGAGGCAATCTCTAATCCATATACTTACCAGGCTCTAGCCTGCTTAGCCACATTCCCGATAAGTGGCTTGCCGTATAAAACATCTAAAGTGTATATTTGTCGCAAGTTAAGGCCACGTTATGTTCCCCGAGTATCTTTTGCAAGAAAGACCACCGTCTCAATGCCTGGCTATATTTATACGGCCGCTGGCTGCCCTCTACTGGATTAAAAGGCAAGCAGCATTCTTAATAATACTAACCAGTTTATATAAAAATATATAGCGGCATTCATGTAAACTACACCTCAGAACGTTACGTAATCAGCAACAGTATATATAATATTCTTGGGTTTTTTTCGGTAAAGTCACGTAGGTAAAAAATTAAAATTAATAAAAGTAAAATAAAAATTGAATCAAAATCACGACGTTTCGGAGGCAACACAAGCTTCCGTCTTCAGGTGGAACCGTCACAGCACGATAGCTGTATCAAGTGGTATCAAGTAAGATACAGATATCGTGCTATGACGGTTCCACCTGAAGACGGAAGCTTCTGTTGCCTCCGAAACGTCGTGATTTTTATTAATTTTTTTATTTTACTTTTATTAATTAAAATTTAAAATTTTTACCTACGTGACTTTACCGAAAAAAACCTAAGAATATGAATCCTTGCAGTCACGAACGCTTCAAATCTAGAAGTATATATAACGTTCAGATGTTTTCAGTCAATTAATGTGCCTTGTGTTTTTTTACGTGCGGTAGGAAAACCGCAGCACCTGCCAAAAAAAACCCACGCGCGTGAGGGAGCAACGCTCTATCCCAGTGGTTCTCAACCTTCATTGGGCTACTGTTGACCCGCTCGTTGAATTTTATTTCAACCGAGCACCCTCCCCCTCCTTGCCTGACACAACCACGGTTCTGCGAAATAAATGTACGAATAATTATCGTCATTTCGTGAGGTACATCCCAACTTAGCCGGTAACCGCAAGCACATTTAAAACAAATTCTACGCCACGCTCTGCACGCGTGGCGTCGTCTGTTCGCGCTCGTTGGTTTCTCTTGGCAACCAACATTGTGAGTTTATAAAGGTATTTTATATCGTTCTAATGTACCACGTGGATTACAATGTTATCGTAGTTATTTTATATTAGCAGATTCGTACGTGATGATTCACCAATCACTCTCGTGTATGACATCATTTCACACACACACACATTTATAAATCACCTCACGTACCCCCAGGGGGTCCGAGTAACCCCCCCATTGAGAACCATTGCCCTGTCCCATACAGATGTTGGAACAGATGAAGTCCACACTTGCTGTACCGAATTCTCCTGGCACGTCAGGGTGTGATGTTACCTCTTCGACGCCGACTTCGGGGAGTGTCACATTTGTCTAATCCACCAACTCTCGCTGCGTTCACAGTGCTGAATTGCAGGCGACGTGACGACGCGGTGGCGAGATGTTAACTACCTCGCCTGGTATACAGGAGGTTGTGGGTTCGATGCCGACCCTGACGCCTGCTGCTGTATATTTGGAGTTTACGTGTCTCTCTCTCTCATCATCATCACGGTGGCTAGGAGATGTTAACTACCTCGCCTGGTGTACAGGAGGTCGTAGGTTCGATCCCGACCCTGACGCCTGCTGTATATAAGGAGTTTGCGTCTCTCATCATCATCACGGTGGCTATGAGATGTTAACTACCTCGCCTGGTACACAGGAGGTCGTAGGTTCGATCCCGACCCTGACGTCTGCTGTATATAAGGAGTTTTCGTGTCTCTCTCATCGTGATCACGGTGGCGAGGAGATGTTAACTACCTCGCTTGGTACACAGGAGGTCGTAGGTTCGATGCCGACCCTGACGCCTGCTGTATATTTGGAGTTTGCGTGCCTCGCTCTCATGGTCACGGTGGTTAGGAGATGTTAACTACCTCGCCTGGTATACAGGAGGTCGTGGGTTCGATGCTGACCCTGATACCCGCTGTATATTTGGAGTTTGCGTGTCTCTCTCCCTGTGGTCGCGATGATTTTTCTCCGTGTTTGCCTTTTCCTTCCACGTCTAGATTCGTCGTGCATTCAGAGGTTCTGGCTGCTATACATTTCCAAACGACAAGCCGGTTCACTGGATTATCATTTGTGGCCAGGTCACTTCTGAAACACAGCTATATATAGCCCAGTGGGCCTTATAAAATGTTAGTTATTGGCAAACATGTTGAGGTTTTGGTTATTTGTCTAACGCAAGAAGTGTCCAAAGTCTCACCGAGTTGTAAGAATCTTATTTGAGGAGAGTCCTGCAACGTCTTCGCTGTTGAAAGAGGTGGGGGATGTGATGATTCTGAATGCGTATTTTGCCCACCGAGAGAAGTTTGCCAAAGCAAAACATTTTCAAGCGTCAACATTTTTGAACCACGATGGGCGGCCACACAACGGCCTTCCGACTCCTTCGAACGAAATCCACATAGAAGCAAAACTCACTGTGGATATATAATACAGGGCAAAGGACATCTGCGACAACTAATCTGTTGCTCCATCAAGACTCAGATCGATTGATTCACTTCGTGTAAGTGTCGGAAAAGAACCGGGGATTGAGAGATTGTGTGTGTTTGGAGCGAATTTTTTGACCAAAAATATAAAAGTAAAAATCATCAACGAATGCGTGCAGAGTTATGTTATAATGAACGAACTCCCACAGTATTGAACCTTTAAACCACGTCACATATTTCTCCGGATAATAAACAAACGTTTAGCGGGTGGCGTATTATGCTGTACACCGGTTACTCTGCCGCACTCGGAAACAAAGACGTTACCCATATAAATATCCTTTAACGGGCTGTTAGGGACATTGCTGTATGTATGGTGTGTGTGTGTGCCCCTGTCAAAACCCTTTAGTCATCCTCGCAGCAGCTTTTGGCTAACCCATCGAACAAAGGCAGTCACCGCATCGCGCACTTTCAGATGCGCTTCTGCGGCCGTCTGGAACGCTCTTCCTTCCGATATTAGGAAGCCACTGGAGCTGTCATCGAGATTGAAAACGAATTTCTTCATAACTGCTTTTTGTTTAGTTTGTTGTCATTCTGCCGCACCTCCGATTAACACGGTTGGCTACGTACGGTGTGAAAGAAATTCAACAAATATACATAGCTAAATGCTTGGTTATGACTGTTCTTTGCTCCCCGCCTGGACCAATCCGCACTGACAAGCGTGGTGAAGTATGGTCAGAGTCAGAACTAAATATTCAGTTAAGCAGGCTTACATTTATTTATACCACAGGACATACATACACACACGCGCGCGCAACGAAAAATAATATATAACTTTGGCATAAAATAATAAGTTGTAATTAAAGTACCGTAGTGGTGACGCACTCCTAATAATAGGCACGATACGAGTTTCTTCTATTGTAAGATATAAACAGAGTGTTGAGACTAAAACAGTATTTCCTGCAGTTATACATCCTCTAAAGTCATAATGGAAAGTCCTGTCGTAATGCTAATTATTGCATTCGTATACTCTTGTTGTAAATAGATAATTTTAACTCAAGACTACTGTACTACTATAAAATAACTATACTTGCCATTTTTCTTATCCTCAATGTTCCACCCAGTTTGTAGTTTGTGCTGTCTGTGCGGTGCCATTTAACGCGGCGAACCGCCCATGCGGAGTTCCCACAGAGCAGTGGATCTCCCCCCTCCCCGCCCTGCCCCGTGAAGGAGACATCACAGAACTGCTTCTGAATTGCCTTCATCCGCACTTTGTTCAAAACATGCCAGTCAAAGCAATACACACATATATTTTAATCTCAGAGCTGCAACATTTCGGTAATTGAAGTGGGGGGGGGGGGGAAACCCAATTAATTTGGTGTTTTTTTGTTGTATGCAGTCATTCGGGGTGTCACGAGGGCCAGATGTTAACTACCTCGCCTGGTATCCAGGAGGTCGTGGGTTTAATTAGCCAATGAGCCAAGCCCATCACCTCGCTTACACTTAGGAACCCAGTTTAAGAAAGTGGCCGACACCTGCATTTCAAACCGGGTTCTCAGGAGTACCGGGCTCAACGCTGTGCCCTATTGGGCCATCTCCAACTCAAAAAGGGGCCATCCATTGAGTAGGTACGCAAACATCTGTCGAAACTTGACCCCCTCACCCCCTCCCTGTACGCAAGCGGACTTTTTACCCCCCCCCCCCACCTGCGTACGTTCGCTTGACGGACCCCCCCCCCCCCCGAATCCTATAGAACGGCCGATATTTAATCCACGCAGAAACGATCAAGGATTAATCATATCAACGTGTTTAAGCAAACAGATAGTCCACTACTGGCTGCATTAAATAAAGTTGCGTACCTTGGCCACTTATTTTGCCTAGCTGCGTAATAGCTGCAGTCAGGGTACGGTGGCATCCAAGTGATGCCTCTCCCAGTCCCACTTCTCCCGGTAGTATTTGTCTGCCATCTCAAGTAACTCAACTGTAGCTCATTTGAAGGTCAATGTCCACAAATTTTTTATCGAGGCTTAACCCCCCCCCCCCCCCGTTTCCTATGCGTACGTACATTGTCAGTAGACGCATTTTGGTTAACCCCCCTCCATGCGTACGTACTAAATGGATGGCCCCAAATGCCAAGTCATAGGCCACATAACATTTTTAATTTTGTGTAGGATGGAATAAAAAAAATCCCCCGAAACATCAAATGTTTATCAAGCCCCTTATGGAAAAAGAGTTAACAGAAATTCGGTTGTTTAAATACAACTTGTACCACCGCAGACATGGACATTACTCGATATTTTTGTTGCCAAAGAGTTAAAAGTTTTCCGCTGCTCCCCGATCTGCCAGTCTCGTCTACTCGGGACTCGGAACAGAAGCCCCTTTTTTTGACGGCGTGGAAATAAAAAATCCCGCGCGACGCCGCCGGTGGCCAAAGCCAAAATAAATTCTCACCCTTGGGCTTGATGCTCATTTTCAATCTCACGCCCCAGGCTGGCATTTCAATGTGGTCATCGCGCAATTTCCGAAGGGCGTTGCATGAACCCTTACATGCCAGCCCTTGGCTAAAAGCAGGAACATCGCGGAGATAAAATAAGCAGTGGAGGGGGGTGGTACCTAATTAACAGCTTTTAAACTAAAAGTCTCATTCAAAATGTGCTATTGGCATTATAATGTATATGTACAGCCACACTCTCAGTGACGTTACCCCCCCCCCCCCTCCATAGCAAACCACCCCATCCTAACCACCACAACCACCACCACAACCAACCACACCCCACAACTCAATGTAGGGGTCTCGCTCACCTGTTCGTGGTCAACTGGCAGAGGGAGGGAGGATTTGTATATCCACTGCTGGATGAGGGCCTCCCCACAACAAGCAGGTAGTGTGAGTTATCTGACCATAATGCATCACGCTGGTCAGTTAGGGTTAGTGAAGCTGGGGACGAGATGTGGGAGCAGAGAAGTACAATACAGCAATTGGATTTTGCATCGTCCTGCATCGTGTCACACGACAAATCCATTTTCAGTTTGGAATTTTCCCATATAGTAGTGGTCTACCCTGTGTCAGAGAGTGGCCTCTGGAAAATGGCATCAGAGAACTACATCTGAGGTCCCTTCAATTGCCTCTTTTTCCACAATCGGTGGGCCTTCCCACAATGCCTTGCACAGCGATCGTCGCATGGCAGACAAGAGAGCGCCAATGTGGATCTCGTCAACTGTGGAACCCACTGTAGGTTTCGCTGACTTGGAGAGACCATGAAAACAGACGTGTTATATTATCACAATCAAGGCGCATAATTATCAATCACGTGAACTCTGGTCAACCTCGCAGTGGCTTTTTGCGGAACATCGAACAAAGATGATCACTGCATCGCGTGCTTTCAGATGCACTTCTGCGGCCACCTGGAACGCTCTTCCTTCCGATATTAGGAAGCCACTGGAGCTATGCACATTTAAATAATCTAGACTGAAAATTAATTTCTTTAAAACTGCTTCATGCGTTTAGTTTGTTGTACTTCCCCCGCACGTCCGATTAGCACGCTTGGCTACGGTACGGTGCGAAAGTTCAACATACAATCAGCCATGATCTATCCACTCGTTGATCTCGACCTCCGGCCACCAACCGTTCCCCTTCCGAACGACGGCGTCTTGCCCAGGATCCACTCCAATCTCCTAAACGGCCAAAAGGAGATTTGGCCCCTTGCGAGCTCGCTCCCCAAACGCGCGTTGTCCTCTTCCCGTGGCTCAGCAGAACTCGATCCATGCACCACTGCACGCTTCGTTGCGCACTTTTCAGCCTTTGTTTCAGCTTCTACGAGAAAAAACTTTTTTCGTGCTTTTTTATTTTTGGTGCCATTTCTTAATTTGTAAAAAAAAAAGCTTGGTAGGATGGGTTTTATTTGCGTGGTATGTATGTGTGTTGGGCTTCTTTCACGCTGTACTTAGGCAACCACTTACATGGGATTTGGTCCTTATATATAATTAACATACAGCGTTGTGGGCTGCTGTAAGCATGAATGCCGCTATATAAAATGAATGTATTATTAATGTCTGTTTGTCTGATCCACGTTCTCGCAGATGATGTATTCTGATTAAATACATTTTTCTTGAGGACCCCAAACTCAAACCACCTGTTATGATATACAAATATAAAATATATACGATACCTTAATACACACACACACAATGTATGATATGCCGCAGTGGTGTTTAAAAAAGTTCAGCGATCGTGCTACTATTTGCTAAATGTTTACCATTTCACAGAATTATTCCTTATCACGTTTGTTCTGAAACGCATCACCCCCACAAACTATTCAGCACTTATTTGTTGGAAGTTTGAAAAGCTTCGAAATCAGGGATTAATTTTAGCCGGGTCTGTCTGACGCAGAATATATTCTCCCGCGATTGGCACCACCACATCCACTACACCTCTCGCTTTGGCTGTGGCCATTCGCCACGTACCACAAACTCCAGTTCTACGGGCGACCCTAAAAATAAGTGATAAATTATTCCTTATTTCGAACTGACATGGAAACTATATACTGTGTATATATGTAAAAAAAAAATTCCGCGCATTACGCAGCGAGTGGCAACCGGGGGTGATTTGTGACTCCTGTTGGAGACAGCGGTGAACGTTTCCTAGCTGCCTCGAAAATACAAACCGCGATTCCAGCTGCAAAATTATTAATTGACCTTGCAAGGCCACACGCGGCGCAGACATGAAGCGTGACCTTTGGAATCTCGCCATCACTCGCAGGACTTGACACCTGGTGTAGGGCAGTGGGGTAACGAATGAAGGAGACTTCGATTCCTCAGCGCTCGCGTGTTTTTACCCTCTTAGTAACCACGGACAAACGAGCGGCACGGTAACACAGAAACAAACTTAAGTGTGCGCGCTGCCTGCTGCTGCGTGCATCTCCGCCAACGGCACTAGTCCGCTTGGTGACGAGATGTTAACTCCCCGGCCTGGTATGCAGGAGGTCGCGGGTTCAATCCCGACCTTGACGCCTGTTGTATATATTTAGAGTTTGCATGTTCTATCTCCCAGCAGTCGCGTGATTTTTTTCTCCGGGTCTTCCGGTTTTTCCCTCCACATTTAGAAACATGCATTTAGAGTATTTGACTGCAATAAATTTACACGTGATAAGCCACTTCGTTGAGCTATCATTTGTGGCCAGATCGCTTCTGAAAAATAGCTACATAGCTCAGTGGGCCTTACCTGGTAAATTACAAAATAGGTTGTAGAGTGCCAGAGATAATTTGATGTCGTAGGCCTATGCTTGCAATGACGTAGCTTAGGAGCTGCTCATCATTATCATCAGCCAGGATCTATCCACTGCTGAATGAAGGCTTCCACGAGCCATCACAATCTCTCCCCGGGCTTGAGATGCAACAACTCATTCAGCTGCTAGCACACGAGTCCATCTACAGGCGGTCCAAAACAATTGCAATGGTTATGCATTCTTACTTGAGGGGACCTGTTTCCTTTCAGACATCGTCACCGGGTATCGAATCAAAAGTTTCCAAACAACAAAGACGTCTATGATGTACTTTGAGATTCCCACAATAGCAAAAAGTTGGTGAACAGCGGTCATTCCCATCGCACTCGTCACAATTTTAGTCCCGTTTATCCGGCCAAACATATCGGATGAAGGCTCGGTAATGGGAAAAAGAAAAAAAAATGCGGCCTTAGATAATTCCTCCACGGTTTGCCGGGCAACAGACCAGACAAGCTAAAAGCAAAACAGCACAATCTGAAACGCTTGCCGTGGTACCAACCATCCCTTCCTCCCCAACCACCATCACCGCCACCCGCCCACACAAGTCCCACACGCACGCACATGTGCCGCCCCCGCCCCACCCCCGCTCTCTCAGAAGTCCTCGGAAGTGATGAAGGCGTAGATCTTAGCGAGGAACGTCGTGAACGTGCCCTGGCGGAAGAGCCGCATCTCCACGTTGAGCAGCAGGTCCCGGGGGCTGTCGGGCGCGCGTTGCATGTACACGACGCCCGTGTACGCGTTCATCTTGCGCGTGGCGAACAGCCCCTCGTGGTTGCCCGCCGTGAGGCCTAGCGTGATGGTGTCGCCCGCGTATGCGGGCGACGGGCCGATGCGGAAGATGTTGGCGGGCAGCGGCACGGTGCGCGGGAAGCTCAGCTGGTAGTAGGTGATGCGAACGGGCGAGCTGGTGCAGTCCTGCGGGTCGGCGCACGAAATTCGTTCACAGCGACTGGCAGAGGGACACGGGAGAGACAGACAGACAGTCATGGACGGGGGCGAGGGAGTGATATCACCGAGAGCAGTGGATGGTGAAGTACGGCTGAATAACCCCTCCCCCCTCCCTCCACTCATGACCAACGTAATGTCCAACAGTGGATTGACTCGGAGGAGAATTATATCGGAGACAGCAGTGTTGGTGGCAGGAGGAGAGTGAAGTATGGTCTTTCAACCAACATGAGGCCTTCATGCAACAGTGGATTTACAAACAGCTGTAAATTATTACTTGTTCCATCATCATTCTTATGATTATGAACAATTAAGCCTATGACTAAATAAACCCGGAATGTACCCCATTCTCTTTAAAATCTCGGACACTAAGGAGGGATGAACCTGGATAATGCTTGCATTGGGCAACCGCCATACATAACAGGTGCTATAGACTTTGGGGCTACAGTGGGCAGCAGAGAGCAGGGCAACAAAATCCATTATTATCCTGTGTTTCCATGCCCCCACATCTTTGCTATCACAACTTCACCAACCCCGCGCTGACCGGCGTGGTGAAATGTGGTTCAAATAACTCTCACTGCCTGCACGGCACAGGGGAGGAAGTCCTCATCCGCCAATGGATTGACAAGATCCCGTATGAATGCGCACGCAGGTGCAAGCGAAAGGTCAACAAACAAACAAAAAATTACTCCGTACACCCGCCTTAAATGGACACAAGCGGAATACGAGGTCTGTGCCGACGGGCGGTGGCAAATGTCACGCCGGTAATGTCGGGCGGACGTCGGATCGCCTACTTCTCTGCCGAGCGACGGTAGTTGGACGGACACTGGTAGGAGAGGCAGCGGAAGCCGCCCTGCATGTTGAAGCAGTTCTCAGACGACGAGCAGTTGTGAGTGCCGGTGCCGCACTCGTCCAGGTCTGCACGCGCACAAAGAAAAGAGTGGCGGTGCAGCGGTTAGCGCGTTGTGCTATGAACCCGGCGACCCGAGTTCGATTCCCGCTTATGGCGGTCAACACCAGTGACGATTATCTGAGCCGGTCCTGGGCCTCCTCTCGGTCGATTCAGCCTCAAATGAGTACCTGCTGCGGTGTGCAAACATCGCCACTGGTGAGACAAAGACGGCTGGGCGCGGTGCTGGCCACCCACTCCCCCTCGTGTGCCACAGTTCATAGGTGCTACTCGCAAAAAGTGTTTGTCCCAAAAGTCTGTTAAAGGCTATACGAGGGATATTTGTCTTGCGTGCCTGTGTGTGCGTGCGTGTGCGTGCGTGTGCGTGTGTGTGTGCGTGTGTGTGTGCGTGTGTGCGTGTGTGCGCGTGTGCGCGTGTGTGTGCGTGTGTGCACGTGTGTGTGCGTGTGTGCACGTGTGTGTGCGTGTGTGTGCGTGCGTGCGTGTGCGTGCTCACCCAGGCAGGAGCGCCCGTTGGGCGACATGGTGTAGCCGTACGCGGGGCAGTAGCACTCGAAGCTGCCCGGCACATTGGCACAGCGGTACGCGCAGAGCCCGCCATTACTCCCGGGCAGCGAGCACTCGTCAACGTCTGCGGGACACAGGCACGTGCACGCACGCATAGGACGGTACACGCACGCGCAACGATTGCGTGAGTAATGACAGCGGGTACATACACGGTGCATGTTTGTGAGAGAGCATTCACATGCCCGCAAGTGCTACTGCTACTCCCTGCTCCCGCCCCCCAGCTATGAACAGACTGACGCCAAACCACTATAACTACCCCTATCACTACCCATAACCCTACCCCAAACCCCTATCACTACCCTTACCGCAACCCCTCTTAAACTACACCCACCCGTCCTCCTAACCATCGCCATAACTACACACAAACACTTTTAATAACCCTCCTCTTGATTGCAACCGCTGTCATCTTACATACAATTTTGTCGTAAAGCGCGTTGGATTATGGCGCTATATAAACTAAACTAAACTATTTTCAGAAGCGACCTGGCCACAAATGATAGCCCAATGAAGTGGGTTGTCATGTGGAAATGTATGGCAGCCAGATACTCTAAACACGTGTTCATTCTAAACGTGGAGGGAAAAACTGGAGGGCCCGGAGAAAAATCTACGCGACCACGGAGAGAACATGCAAAAATACAGGCGTCGAAGTCAGGGTCAAACCCAGGACCTGGTACATACCAGGCGAGGTAGTTAACATCTCCTCGCCACCGTGGCACCACAACTTTACCAAAATGTTGCGTAACTGCCACCTAACAAGAAAAATCCATGTGACCATGGGAATAGAGACACGCAAACTCGAAACATAAAGCAGACGTCAGGGTCTGGGTCGAACCCACACCCCCCTGAATACCAGGCGAGGTAGTTAACATCTCTCCATCCTGGCATCAATCAGGGCAGGCAGCAGCGCCGCGATTTTCCGTGACGAGCAGCTCATGCACGTCGTCGCACCGTACACGACGGGACCGCGCCATCGCCTTCCCATGGGGGGGTCAGGGGGCCAGCGGGCCGGGTGGGCCAGCGCTGACCTTCGCAGGTGACCCCATCGACCTCGCTGGGCTGGAAGCCGCGGCGGCAGTAGCACTGGTAGGAGCCGATGACGTTGGCGCACTCCTGGCTGCAGGGGCTCGACTCGCACTCGTTTGTGTCTGCGAGCGAGAGCGGCAGAATCGCGACGACGGCAGCGACATCGAGAACAGAGTTGAAGTTTCAAGGTTTTTTCTGTTCGTGGCCAAGTGAGAGAGGTCGAGAGGAACGGGGTGAAAGTCTCATTCACAAGAGTGACCCCCCCCCCCCCCGGGGATGGTCGCAACGTTGACGAAAGGAAAACAAGGAAAGAGATATGAGGACGTAAAACACAAACTGCATCACACGAGGAATAGAAGGGCCAGTGATGCCCCAATTTATGTCTCCCCCTTTAAGGTCGTTCTGCGAATACGCGGTCACTTTATAATTAGCCGTGACCGAGAATCGAACATGGCTAGCTGGTTTCGCAGCAAATTGCGCTTACCTCAATACCATCGCTCCCCAAAATGAACACACACACAAATCCCTCATATAGACTTAACAGACTGTTTGGGTAAGTGCTGTTAGCGAGCACCTATGAAGGCCGGCATGGCACACGAGAGGGTGGTTGGCTAGCAACACGCCCAGCCGTAATTGTCTCCCTAGTGGCGATGTTTACACACCGCACCGGGTGGTCATTTGAGGCTGAATCGACCTAGGGGAGGGAGGCCCAGGACCGGTTCATATGATCGTTATCGGTGTTAGCCGTGAGCGGGAATCTAACTCAGGCCGCCAGGTTCGTAACGCAGTGCACTAACCGCTACGCTACTGCTCCCCTCACACACAAACGCGCACATACACACACAGACCCACACACACACGCACGCACACACACGTGTACGTGTATAGAGGCGTGTCACAGTATCATCTCCGCGTGTGGCCGTGCCTCCCGGCAGTGGGAATCTCTCTCTCTCTCACCTTCGCAGGTCTTGCCGTCGGTGCCCAGCTGGAATCCTCTGCTGCAGCTGCAGTGGTAGGAGCCCGGCACATTCTCGCACGTGTGGCTGCATAGCCGCCCTGGGTACTGCCTGCACTCGTTGATGTCTGCGCAGAGACAACAGGGAGAAGAGGAGGAGGAGAGGCAGAGGAGAGACCTCGTCGATCACCACGACTCTACGGATGGACTGACCCTCACGTGCGAGAATAATCGTTGTCTCCCAGGAAAGGTCAAATTAATAAGCTATTAAACGAATTTCTATTTTATCAGGTAAGGCCCACTGAGCCATGTCGCTATTTTTGAGAAACGACCTGGCCACAAATGATAGCTCAACGAAGTAGCTTATCATGTGGAAATGTATAGCAGCCAAATACTTCAAACGCACGTTTCTAAATGTGGAGGGAAGAGAGACATGCAAACTCCAAATATACAGCAGCAGACGTCAAGGTTGAGATCGAACCCACGACCTCCTGCACACCATGCGAGGTAGTTAACATCTCGCCAAAGCGATATGTTAATAATGGGGAGTGCGGGGGAGGGGGGAAGATAGGGGAGGGTGGAGGGGGGACCTACCCCCCATATTAATAAGGGGGGCCCACCACATGGGCGGCTGCTGCTACTGCGTGGACACGGGCGGCGCGATGTAAATAACCTGCCCCGTCGTCTCGACCTGCCCCGCGCCGGGTAAAGGTGCCCCACCCGATGTGGAATATCACAGCGAGAAGCGCAACACGTACCCACGCAGGTGCGTCCCAGAGTGTCGTAGTAGTAGCCGCTGGCGCAGTTGCAGCGGTAGCTGCCTGGAGTGTTTTGGCACTGCTGGCCATCGCCACACTGGTGCGCACCCGTTTGGCACTCATCCACGTCTGTTACGCACACGCACACAACGACAAACATCCCCCGTGACAAAGATCCCCCGTATAGTCTTAACAGACTGTTAGGGGCAAGTGCCGTTAGCAAGCAGCAATCTATAAAGGCCGCCACAGCACACGGTGGAGGGGGGGGGGGGCAGCACCAAACTCGGCCGCCTTTGTCTCCCAAATGGCAATGTTTTTACACACCGCACCAGGTTCTTATTTGAGGCTAAGTCGACCGAGGGGAGCTCGAGTTTCAAATGTATTTTTTTTAACCAGGTGAGAACTCAGAGACCAGGAGAGAGTCTCATTTGCAAGAGTGAGTGCCCCGGGTCACCACAAATCTACAAAAGCAAGACAAACAATTAACGTCCACAGCACTGAAAGCAAATTGAAATCAGCGCAAAAGCAAATAGAAATCAGCGCAAAAACAACTGCGCCATAGGAGAAATCGGAAATATTGCATGTAAAAACATGAAGCAATGTTGAATTATTAGTTCCGTGTAGCCATCATGAGTCAACTCGGGCCAGATTACCACTCCACACAATGCGCGTTCAATCCCGATGAAGCTTGCAGAGCTGAATGGAGTTCAAAAGAACTCGCAAACAAACACTTTGTCAAAGACTCTACACAGAAGACCCCTGGGTTTGATCGTAAACGAAGCACATGGTCCACGCTAAACCGCATCCGCACAAACCATGGCAGATACTGATACCCAATGCACAAATGGCAACATAAAACTCTCCAGTGTGCGACTGGTCAACCAGAACAGACCGTGCAACGTATAACGACACAAAGCCCGACCCACAAATACGAAGGAGACATCGCGGCCGATGCACTCCGCTGCTCCTGACGCAGTTATTCTGGCTTGACCACCTGAATGTGAAATTCTAGTCGTACATCAGCAGCCGAACAAAAGAAGATCTTTCCGCACCGGATCATGCCGACCGGTGTACTCACCGACACAGCGGCCTCCGTCAGGGCTGGCGTGGTACCCTCGCCCGCAGTTGATGATGTGCCTCTGGCAGGTGAAGGACCCCACGGTGTTGATGCAATTATAGCCCAGCTGGCAGATGTCCAACTGCGTCGTGCACTCGTTGATGTCTGCCGGGAGTGAAAGGTCGTTAAAAAAATTTTTAGCTAAAAAAAAGTTTTTACCTAACAAAAAATTTAAGACAAAGATCCCCCGTATAGCCTTTACTGGACTATTGAGCCAAGTGCTGTTAGCAACACGGTCTGGGATTGCTCTAATGGTCGTGGAAATGCAGAGCTTTCACTTTTTCTAGATGGCCGAGTTGCGCAGAGATCACCGCTGAAATCCTGGGTTTGAATCCAGGCAGCTGTCTACGATTGAATCGGGTTCACAGGTGCAGTGAGTTGATGGTGTCAGCTCAGTCGCCAAGTGAGTGTATAAAAAAAAGCCCTCGCGTGAAATTTGGTTCCGCACATAAATTGCATCCATTCCAACTTTGAAGAATTAAACATCGGTTTGACTGTCAAACAAAAAACACATTACTCTCAGTGACACAGTGGGTGGGAAAGTTGTTCCCTCGACTTTGTCGACTAGAGGTCACTTAAATGGATCTCAGAGGTAGCTCTGCAGTATCCACGTCCGTGGGCCGTTCCTCCAACACACGAGACCTGCGCTGCTTTGCGCGCGATCCGAAACGGATCCTTCGTCGCGAGGAGCTTATACCGTAATCGGAGATAAATTGTGGAACATAATTTTTGCAATTGACTTTATATGTATGCTGAACTTCTTTTGCACCGTACGTAGCCAACCGTGCTGATCAGAGGTGCAGCGAGTGGGGCAGGGGGCGAGGGGGGCTAGCGGGGTGTGGGAAGGGGGGCGCCGCGTCTCACCGATGCAGCTGCCCAGCGCATCCTGCAGGAAGCCGGCGCCGCACTGCTCGCGCGGGCGGCAGCGGAACGAGCCCAGCGTGTTCTGGCACTTCAGCTCCTCGCCGCAGTTGTGCGTGCCCGTCTCGCACTCATCAATGTCTGCAGGCGCCCGCACGTAACGACAACGACGGCTAATGACGACGATCGTGACGACCGTAGTGACGACGGTCGCGACGACGGTCGCGACGACGGTCGCGACGACGGTCGCGACGACGATCGCGACGACGATCGCGACGACGATCGTGACGACGGTCGCGACGACGATCGTGACGACGATCGTGGCGACGATCGCGACGACGGTTGCGACGACGATCGTGACGACGATCGTGACGACGGTCGCGACGACGATCGCGACGACGGTCGCGACGACGATCGCGACGACGATCGCGGCGACGATCGCGACGACGGTCGCGACGACGGTCGTGACGACGCGCGGCAATAACACAGCCCTGCAATTGCTTTGCTCGTGCCACTGCTAGCGGAAGGGGCCTCCACCAGAGGAGGCTGTAGTGAGCCCCTCCAGAGGGTAATTGGCTTGGAAGATCAGAATCAGAGTCTTTGTTTACACTGGAGGAATCCGATGAGCTTTGAAGCTCTTTTCACAGATGTCCACTAGGGGCGAGTTATATGTATGTATGTATATTGAACTTTTGTAGCGCCATACGTAGCCAACCGTGTTAATCAGAGGTGCGATTAGCACGGTTGGCTACATGTCAGCAAGATATGGGGGTGCCCACACTTGACCCCACTGCAGGCGACCTGACGATCGACTAACTGTGGTGTATCCGTTTAAAATGCTGGGTGGGGAGAGACGGAGCTGGGATTTAAGAATCATGCACCATCGTTTCAACTGCCATGCCAGGAGAGGAAACGAACCGGCGACCTCTGGATTGCAAGTTCAGTTGCGCTGCTGCTCACCGTTACACCACGAGGGCATCTGAAACTAATAATAATCATAATAACGATTTATAATTATAATCTACCAGAATTGCGTAAAAAAAATATTAAAAAATATTTTTTTTTTATCTATGACATACGGATCAGAAACATGGACACTGACAAATAAAACAAAATTTAAAGCAGATAGGTGTACAAAAAAGCACGGAGGGATGCACACGTTTGGAACTGCACCGAGGCCGGAAGAGGAACACATGGATTTGAGAACATAAACAAGTCGGAGACATCACGATGACATGACGTGTCGCTGGAAGGGTGGTCGAGACTAACGACAGGAGTGGGAATACGGTTCGAGAAGACGTCCCCCGCGGAGATGGAGCGAAGCTCGTGCTTGAGCTGCCCCACTGTCATTCGAAGGCCGTTCACACCAATCTCCAGGTAGACCGATGTGCAATCTGACAGTTGCGTCGAACCAAAGACAATGGTGACAACAACGACGACGACAATGACGACAACGATGCCTGGAGAACACCCCCACACGCACATCAGCGGACGTCGTCGGTGGCGGCTGCCTGTGTGGAGGGTGGAGGATGGGGGGGGTAGGGGAGGTAACTTGCCCTGGCAGTGGTTGAGCTCAGTGAGCTCGTAGCCCGTGCCACAGCTGATCTCGCGCTGGCAGCGGAAAGAGCCGACCGTGTTGATGCAGCGCTGTCCCTCCTGGCAGTGGTGCTCGTCCGTCAGGCACTCGTTCACGTCTGGGCTCGGAGCGGGGGGGGGGGATGGAACGGAAATTATTTCAACCTCGCAGCAAAAATCCACTTGCATTCTGCGCCTCTGATTATAATCTATGAAGCTCTTTTTCACATCAGTCAAGGGTCAAACCCGTAGGAGGTGGCAAACCTTACAGGCGCCCATCCACCAATAGACTGGCCATGGTGTTATACGTTTAATATTTATATGTTTGTATTACATTCCCTGATAAACCTGGCGAGTGCTTGCATGGGTGACCACCAGCAAAAACAGCATGTGGGGCTATCTATGGTGCAGACAGCACAGGGCAGTGCGAAACAAAACCCTGTGCTGTACGGGGTCTGTGCGAGTTGTACGTATGTTGAACTTGCTTTGCACCGTACGTAGCCGACCGTGCTAATCGGAGGTGCAGGGAATCGGAGGTGCACCCAGCAACAGAGCCACACATCTGCCATATCTGCATTTCCCATAAATATGCTAAATTCCTCTTGATATGCAAATTATTTTGTCAAGGCGCTTTTCCCCCTCAACCCAGCTTAAATATACGCTGCTAAGCCTGGTGGTGTTCATTCAGACGCTGTCTTTCCGACAGACCTGTTCTTCACCTGAGGACGGCTGCTTGTGTTGTAGCCGAAACGTCGTGAGAATTATTTTATTATGTTTTATTTTTATTATTTTATTATTTCCCTTCTACGTGACTTTAGCGAAAGAACCAAGAAGATCTGCCAAACGATTAAATGGGATAAATCTTGATTGCCATGAGTGCTGTATCGCTGTGATGATGCCTCCCTTATTATATATATCTCAGTGAGAAGTTGCTGAAGGCGGGAAGCGTAGATGCGGGGGGCGCAAAAGTACTGCAACGCTGTGGTGCGCGCAAGCCGCCCACCTTCACAGGTCACTGCGTCACTCCGGAGCCGGTAGCCGATGTGACACGCGCACTGCACCCCCGTGCCGGCTTCAATGCACTTGTGGGCACACGTTTTTCCCAACGCTGAAAGAAAGAGAGAGAGACATTCACCAGCATCATTGTCAGTAACGGTCTATGCACTGCTGGATGAAGGATGAAGGTCTCCCTGATCCGTCTTTATCTCTTACGACAAGGGTTTCCCCAAATGACAATCTTCGCGACGGATTCAATCCTGATATTAAAACACAAGTTAACTCGTTTCATGCTGCATGCGCCCAATGATTGTTGAAGACGTCCCAACGTCACGCACTGAGCAATTAGCGCCGTCTGCGTTAATAGAGCTGATTCATGTGAAGATCTCAATGTGCGTGTGTGCGAGTGTGTGCAGGGGTTAGCGCGCTGCGCTATCAACCCGGCGACACGAGTTCGATTCCCGCTCATGGCCACCAACACCAGTGATGATTATCTGAACAGGTTCCTGGGTCTACCCTAGGTCGACTCGGCCTCAAATTAGTACCTAGTGTTGTGTGTAAACATCGCCACTAGGGAGACAAAGGCGGGCAGGCATGGTGCTGGCCACCCACCCACTAGTGTGCCATGCCGGGCTTCATAGGTGTTCACTAACAGCACTTGCCCCAACAGTCTGTTAAGGCTATACAGAGGATCGTTGATCTTTGTCCTCGTATGTGCACGTTCCATGTGATGCAGACAGCGTTAGCCGTTGTATTTTTGTGTCAACGCCTAAGTTTCAGATCCATATATCATCGCAGGGAATGTGCACTCATTAAACCCTTTCACCGTCGAGGCACGCCAGTATACGTTGCTTTTTCACTTGAGCGATTGTTTTAAAAGTCCGTTTTACTCACAATATTGACAATTCAATCTCACGTTGGACAGCCCCGAGGACACACAGCAGCCTGGGTACGCGGCGACGAGATTCGTGGTTTTAACTTTCGTGTTGTGGCTTCGAGTAATGACGATGGGAAAACATCTATGAAAGTCTGGGGTGGGGGGGGTGGGGGTGCTCGCACGCACCGCGACACTTGTCCACTTGCTGTTGGCTGGCCGGCACGTCGGGGTCATCCCTCCATTCGTTCTGCTTCTGGAACTGATCTCCTCCTTAACAAAAAAACGTACGGTGCGAAATAAGTTCAACATACGGACGTAAAAAGACACCAGGACAGGGTGACACCACAGCAGACAACAAAGGCAAAGATAACCCCCCCCACCCCCCCCCCCCCCCCGTATAGCCATCGCAGGCTGTTGGGGAAGGTGGTGTTAGTGAGCACCTATGGAGGCCGAAACAGCACACGAGGGAGTGAGTAGCCAGCACCATGCCTGGCCGCCTTTGTCTCCCCAGTGGCGATGTCTTACACACCCGCAACAGGTACTCATTTTGAGGCTGAGTCGACCTAAGGGAGGCCCAGGACCGGTTCAAATAACCGTCACTGGCATTGACCGTGAGCAGGAATCGAACTCGTGTCGCCGGGTTAATAATGCAGCGCGCTAACCACTACACGACTGCTCCCTTAGCAGACAACAGGACCACACCAGACAACTCCAACTTCACAATCAAAATAATAATAATTGCAAATTCTCATCTGTGATTGTTGCGAGTCGGAGTTGATTATGGTGTCGATTGGGAGGTGCGATTCCTGTGCGTTAGAATAGACGCCAAGTGCGACTGAGGATTTGTAAACCCATCATGAGTACAGATTTGCGTGCGGTCGTCAATTTCCTGACAGGGTCTTGCGAGACATGGACCTCAGCTCACAGCAATCACGAGACTTTATAAATAAGATAAATCAAGAAATGTTGAACTTCTTTCGCGCTGGACGTAGTCACCCACGCTAATCGGAGGTTCGGGGAAAGAACAACAAGCTAAACACATAAAGCAGTTCTAAAGAAATGAGTTTTCAATCTAGAATGCGTTTTCAATCTATACACACACACATGCGACGCAAACTTTAACAATGGTTGCACAATCCGGCAAGTCGCCACCAAATCGTGGAAAACAATCACACAACGGTCGGCAACTGACACTCAGATCTCTGAAGTTAACCGTTTCCCGTTCTGAGATTCGATTTGATTCAGTTCGGAATCGGAATAACTGATGACGTACAATGTATGCCATCGGAACGGGTTCAGCAAGTTTGAGGCAATGGTCCTGTTTCATATAGCACATTGTGAATGAATCGGAATCAGAATATTTATCAATACTGGAGGAATCCGATGAGCTATGAAGCTCTTTTTCACAGATGTTCAGTAGGCGCGGCTAAGAACGCTACAAATAACCAAAACACATTAAAAGAAAACTAAACTATTCCCATCCTACCAGGATGAAGCAGCGCGCCATTGCCCAAAACGTTGCCTATTATATATTTTTTTTTATTTAAAGCTACAGTGTTCATATTCTTGGTTCTTTCGGTAAAGTCACGTAGAAGGGAAATAATAAAATAATAAAAATAAAACATAATAAAATAAAATTCTCACGACGAAAGAACCAAGCATATGAATCCCTGCAGTCACGAAAGCTTTAAATGGAAAAAGCCACAGTGTTATTGCCGAATGTGTTGAGTTTATTTTCGTTGCAAGTGTAAATTGCGAGATTGCAATCGTGGAGCTGTTGGTCACGCACGTTCCGCCGTGCTGTTTTGTCCGCTGGCGCAGCAGGTGCGGTACACGAGGCTGCACAGCTGCCCCAGGCCCTGCAGATCTGTGCAGGCGAGGCCCTGGCTCTGGGTCTTCAAGCCCAGCAGGCAGCAGTCGCAGCACGGCTGTTTGTGTACAAAGAGGTGAGCACAAAGACAACGATTCCCCCCGTATAGCCTTAACAAGCTGTTGAGGCTAGTGCTGTTATAGCGAGAAACTATGAAGGCCGGCCACGGCACATGAGGGGGTGGGTGGCCAGCACCACGTCTGGCCGCCTTTGTCTCCCCAGTGGCTATGTTTTTACACACCGCACCAGCTACTCATTTGAGGCTGAGTCGACCCCAAGGAAGGCTCAGGACCGGTTCAGATAATCGTCACCGGTGTTGGCCGTGAGCGGGAATCGAGCCTGGGTCGCCAGGTCTGTAGTGCAGCGCGCTAACCGCTACACTACTGCTCCCCACACAGAGTTGCACACACACACACGCACCAAACAAACCCAACCGCAAATCAAGTTGTCAACTGCACAATCGTTATCGCCACTGTGCCAAAGAAATTGTCACGGCGGACTCAAGTAAAGGCTTTCATAGATACTGTCTGAGCAACAAAGCGTCGTTCAGTTTAACACGGAGTAGGCTTTCGCGACCAATATTATCCATGACAGAGGTTTTTTTTGGGTTAGATCGCGTAAATATAAATGTGTCGTTAAACCCACCACCACCCGACACAACCAATTAGTAAGGTTTGTCACAAACAAAACGTGCCAATTAGTTACCAGTTCAGCACACCGATTGTGTGTTGGAGAGTAAACCCACAAGATTTACAATTCTATTACCGCGACGTTTCCCCGGCAATTACAAAGCGTGCAGTTGGGTAAAGTGTCCGTTACTCCAACCTCTTCCACGACGTCTGGCCAGCGTGGAAAAAGCAGGCCAGGTAATCCCTTCTCGACAAGATGGGGGCTCTCTACAGCTCCCTCGAGTGGAGGCCCCTTCAGCCAGCAGTGGCACGAGCGAAGACATTGCAGCGCTGCACCTTTACCTCGTTTTTTACGCGGGTGCCTAGTATATAATGTAACACAAACACTTTGTGGAACTGCCCTTTGACAGTCCAAATGAGTCACCAAAGTACACGCAAATTTTGACCTATAATCGGACTCGCAAGAAAAATTTTAAAAAGATAGATTTAAAAAAAAATACATAAAACCTGTCCGCCAACATTTTGGCTGACTTTTTGGAATCGGCGCAGTTTATCTTGATTCCATCAGTTGGCACAACAACAAAAAAAACTAAATAAAAGTCCATCGGCCAGAAACGAACAAAGCCCACACATAGATTTGGTCTGGTACACGTCCAGTCCAACTCGCACGCAGCGAACCCCCCCACCACTCAAGTGGCCGATAAGGGACAACTCCAGTTGTAGCTGCAGAACAAAGTCACAATCTTCGTGGAGCCATCTCCGCCCTCTCTGCGCTTTCCTCAAGTCTGGCGCGTCACCTCATTCAATCCTCACTCTTTATTTCTGACACCACCACCACCACCACACGCTAGGTCATGGAGGGTTTAGAAGTAATTTCCTTAGTGTGTGTGTACCTGGTACATGGGGTGCGTATGAGTGTGTGTACCTCGTACATGGAATGTATATGATTCATAATTAACGTTTTTGGGGTTAGATCGTGTAAGTATAAATGTGTGTGAGTGTATACCTGGTATATGGAGGGTGTGTACCTGGTATATGGGGTGTATGTGTACCTGGTACGTGGGTTGTGTGTGTACCTTGTACATGGGGTGTGTGTGTGTACTTGGTATATGTTCGGCCGGATAGAGGGGGCTAAACGGGCGCTGCACGGGTTAGAGAAGAGATGGAGTGATGTGGTACAAGAGGATGTGGAGCTAAGTGGACTTGCCGATGACCGGTACCAGCGGTGTCAAGATCGGCCTCAGTGGAGGAGGCTCGTGAAGGATGCTACTGGGCAGTTGGAGGCAGTCACTCTCCAACAACAACAGAGGACGGAGGAGCGACGCTCACAACAACGAGCGGAGCGCCGGGTGGCTAAAGCACAGCAAGTTGGCACAGTAGGGGGCACAGGTGGTGCATCAGCCAGTCATTTCGGTCATCTCAGTCAGTCAACCTGTGGCACCTGGGTCTGCCTCGTGACCTCTTGCCAGCGGGCGTTCGACACTTCACGTGGCCTCAAGGTGCACATGGCCTGGCACAAGCGTCGTGGTGACGTCACCGCCACTTAGTGGCGAATGGCGGTTGTTGTTGTTGGTATATGGGGTGCGAGTGTGTGTACCTGGTACATGCTTCCGGAGCAGCTGTCGATGTGAGATCCGCACCCCAACACCTGCCGTGCGGTCGTCATGCCGGCCTGGCACGAGGCATCCTCCAGCGAGGCCAGGCAGCATCGCTTCTGTGCCATCCTGAGCACACCAACCCCAGTGACAAAGATCCCACATAGAGCCTTGACAAGTAGAAAAAAATGGCTCTTCTTGTTAATTTGGTTGTCCAGTTCACCATTGAAGTCCAGTTTACCATGAAAGTCCAGTTTACCATGGGAGTCCAGTTTACCGTGGGAGTCCAGTTTACCGTGGGAGTCCAGTTTACCATTGGAGTCCAGTTTACCATGGCCCATGGGAATCCAGTTCACCATGAGCAGGATTTGGCAACCTGCGGCTCTTTAAGGGACCACCATCTCGTAATCACCACAGTGCCTTGCGGTTCGTAAAATAAAACATTTTTAACAGAATTCGTAATTTTTTTAATCTCCTTGTTATTTTGCTTGACGACCCCTGGCCCTGGACGAATAATTTGCATTATTAAAACTCGACACATGAGGATTCTACGCACGACAAAACCCCAGGGCTCAATTTCAGCCAGGTGTGTCTGGCTCAGCGACCCGAGACAATGTCTCCACACCTGGCACACACCACATTCACCTCCCCCCGCGAGGACAGCGCCTAACCCCGGGTTTGCCAAGCGCGCCCGGAAAAACATTCAGAGACAAACGAAGCGCTCGGTAAAACCTACGAAGAGAAAATTCGCACGGTAGTAACACATTCCTGCGGAGGGAGCTGGTAGGAACGTTGGGTTGCTCGGTCAATGGCCAGGGTCAACGGCGGCGTGGTGTATTCTGCAAATATGGCCGACTGTGAGGGCGGGCACAAGCCGGCATGAGTAGGTTAAACCTTGAGTTTTATAAGGGCACCACGGGGTGACCAGCCCCTCCCCACCCAGCCCCACCCCCCACCCAGCCCCACCCTCCCCACCCAGCCCCTCCCCACCCCACCCAGCCCCTCCCCACCCCACCCAGCCCCTCCCTCCCCACCCTCCCCTCCCCACCCAGCCCCACCCAGCCCCTCCCCACCCCACCCAGCCCCTCCCTCCCCACCCAGCCCCTCCCTGCACGACGGACACAATAATCCCCTGTGGGCTGGTGTAACCAGGAGGTTCCTAACAGTATTAATGAAGAGGGGTGGGGGGGGACCGGCCTCGATAGAACTCGCGGCCGTGATGGAGCAAAGGGCCGGTACCTGCACGCCTCCAAGTCGTTGGCGGGTCGCGGTAGGTCGGAGCACTGCTGGCGCTTGGCGGCCCAGCGCTGGCCGCTCGTGCAGCATTCCTGCAGCGGGTCCGCCCTCGGCAGCGCTGGGGACACCCGCCAACCGATATGCGCAGTGAGACACACAGACAGGACAGAGACCCGGGGGGCGCGCGCTGCGATTTTAGATTCGTAAATTGCGATTGTGTGTGCGTGTGTGTGTATGTTTGGCTTCTTTTGTGCCGTACGTAGCCTATCTAGCGAACCAGAGGTGGGGGGGAAGGACAAGAAACGAAACACAAAAAGCAGTTCTCATGAAATTAGATTTCAATCGAGATGATTTAAAAGAGCATTGATCCAGTGGCTTCCGAATATCGGAAGGAAGAGCGCTCCAGACAGCCACAAAAGCACATCTGAAACCGAGCGACGCGGCATAAACCGCGTGATAGTGAAAAGGTGTGCGCACTCGCGCTCAGCGAACATTCCCGTTCAGGTGTGCGCCGGCTCAACTCCGGCATCGCGCTGCAGAAATATAAAAGCCGGGGTTATTGTTGAACTCGAGCTCTCGTTTGCCTCCCCACATCTACTGGAAATGTGTGAAAGAGAGCTTCATACCTCATCGGATTTCTCCAGGATAAAAAAAGATTCTGATTCTTTCAGCTCCCATCTCCAGCTGCTTGACGTTTCTCACATCCACTGTTTTCTCACCCCAGCTGCCGCTAAGACCCTACGCTCCCCCCACCAACACATCCCTCACCATTAAAGCTCCAAATAACCCAGAACGCCACTATCATACGTCCATAAATGAGATCACATCAGCCCAGTACTCCGATCTCTCCACTGGCTCCCAATGTGCGGATTGCACTCACAGTCTGCAAGCTCCTCCGTGGAGTTGCCCTTTGCCTACCTCTCCCCTGCCATCTCTCTCCACTCCTCGCCACGTAACGCTCTGCTCAGTCTCTCTTCATTTGATGGGAGGTGACTCCTTCTCTGCCGCTGTTACCACTGATGATGTTTCTTGTAGTGATGATGTTGTTGATGGTGATGATGATGGTTGTAGTGGTACTGTAGCTGTTGTTGATAATGGTTACGATGGTGGTGATGTCGTTGAGCGGTGGTGCAGTGGTGAGCGAGCTGCGCTACAAACCCGGAGACTCGAGTACGATTTCCGCTCTCGGCCAACACCAGGGACAATTATCTGAACAGGTCCTGGACCTCCCCTAGGTTGACTCAGCCTCAAATGAGTGCCTAGTGCAGTGTGTAAACATCGCCACTGGGGAGACAAAGGCGGCCGGGCGTGGGGTTGACCACCCACCCCCTCGTGCGCTCTGCCAGGTTTCATAGGTGTTCGCTAACAGCAATTGCCCCAACAGTGTTTTAAGGCTATAGGGGGATCTTTGTCTTTGATTATGTTGTTGATGATGACAATGATGGCCAGCCTTTCTACAAGCATCACGAGGGAAGATTTTAAACAAAACTAAAAGTAACTTTAACATCTCGTTTGCTTGCTTTGTTCAGCTGTCAGTTTTGTTTTTTTAGAGAAATGCAGAAATGGTTCCACGAATGTCTGTGGGGAGCCAGGTATGTGCTCGTGGGCGAGTGTGTCTGTGATTTTAATTTGCAGTAATTGCGGTGCGTGCAGTTGCAACAATCCACCCATCGCTCCATTTCATTAAATTCACTGCTCGGGAGAGAAGCACGATTCAATCTTGAATCTCATTAGACTGCAGTGGGCCAAACATGTTTCAAGCACATTCTAAATTACAATAAATCCACAGCTTTAGATACAGGGTGGCCCAAATGTCAGGACATATTTGGTTATTATGTTTATTTTAACAAATCACATAGGTTAATTTAATTTATTTTTACAAATGTGCAAACCGACTTGCATTAATGCATGCACGAATTATCTTCAGAAATTAATTTAGAACTTTTAAACATTACAGCTGACTTATTTACCATACAATAAAAACGAATTTAACTTGTTTGTCTTTCTTCAATCTTCTTTCCATTTTTAAACGTCATCTGCATGCATGTATATTGTGGTGAACTGCTTTCGCACCGTACGTAGCCAACCGTACTAATCGGAGGTGTGGGGGAAGGACAAGAAACTAAACAGAAAGTAGAAAAATCTCTATCAATAATGCTAACAGATAAAATATTAACTTAAAGAATAAGCAATTTTTTTAAATGGAATTCAGCAAAGCAACCCCGATGACCTTAACGCCGTGGGGCTCCCCCCACGCCCTTTCATCCAAGCAGAGGATTTGACAAAGTGGCTTCGAATCGGCATTGAGTAACGTATTGAACAACGCCAGCTTGGGCTTTGACATCGCTGCAGTTGTTTTGCTTCCGTCTCGTCCGTTTGGATTTACGCACAAAGTGTAGATATCTATCGTTCTTCCCAAGCATGACCACGGAACCCCCCCCCCCTCCTCCCCGCCACGTCCCCCAGAATTCCCCAAGAGAAGCTGGCTTAACGTCCCTCTTACGGGGTGGCACGGGGCGGCGCTGTGATGTGTCCGATAAGCCGAGGCACGGACGGGGGTGACTTGCTCCTGACAAGTGCCTACGTTGTTCCGCCGGAGGCTTACAGGCCCACCTACTGCGCGTGCATCAACAATCATATTATGACGGCTCACTGTGAAGAACAACATGACAAAGATCCCCCCGCGTAGCGAAATGTACACTGTTATAGGGAGAGAACTGTGAGCGAGCACCTATTAAGGTGGGCACAGTGCGAGGCGGGTGTGGTATGGTCAGCACCACGCACCGCCACCTTTGTCTTTCCAGTGTCGAGGTTCACACACCGAATCAGAATCACAATATTTATTTGTATTGGAGGAATCCGATGAGCTATGAAGCTCTTTTTCACAGATGTCCAGTAGGGGCGGCTAAGAACGATACAAGAACAAACAATGCAAAAACACGAAAGGAGTGCAAAGTATAGGAAAGGTAAACATATCACTGTAAAAAAGTATACAGATAAAGCTTAACTATTTTATCTTACCAGGAAAAGCCCACTGAGCTATTAGCTTATTTTTAGAAGCGACCTGGCCACACACAATAGCAAAAAAACATTGGTCATTACGTGGAAATTGATAGCAAAATCATCTAAATGCAAGGCACAACTGAGTGGCATTTCTCATTGGAAGATGAGTCAACCTCTGAGCGGTGACCCAGGACCGGGTCCGGATGTCACTCGCCACTGACGTTAGCCATGGCTGGGCATCGAATTCAGGTGGCAAGGGTTGCAGAGCAGTGCACTAACCGTTACCAAGTATTCAGACACAATCTAGTATTCAAGCCATTTTAAAATGGGGACCTTTAAGAAGCACAGATTATAAAACTTTGGCAAGCAAGCCATCAAGTAAATGTAAGTGTAGAATTTGAGTTTACGTGGAAGATGATCCCATGTAGCCAATTGCCCGGCTATTTTACACGGGAGACACGTGGTGCTGCGTGAGCACAGCAGCAAGAACAACAATGTCAACATTGCAGAGAATGAGTACAAGATCCTTGAGGGATATTGCTCAACAAACAAAGTATTTCATGGTCGTAAACTAAACAACACGCGAGTTGAACACAGTGCACGCATAATGAGACCCGTTATAGCAGCTGGGCGAGCTTAAGAAAATAAGACGAGAAATCTTTTGCCAAAAACTCCGGCAACCATTTACCTGTTAGTGGAGAGATCAGAAGAGAAGTGCACACGATCAGCCAGGCGTTAACGAGACTCCACATTGTCGCCCACGCGAGCCCCCGACGCTGGCTTCGATTGCCCGGCGGAAGGAAATGAAGAGCCACAAAAAAGGGCCAGTACACACCAAAGCCAAGCCCGGTGTCACCCCGAGGCGCTGCGAGGTGCGGTCGGTACCGGTGGGGGTGTCACCCTCCTTATGTAGGGGGCGAGCGGCGACGGCCAATAACGAGCTGGCGATCGTAATTGCACAAGGCCACCCCCCCCCTCTCCGCCGCCAAGGAGCTTTCCAATCACACGCCAGAGTCGCACTGCGGCTTCTAAATCAAATACACACGGCGGCGTTCCTCCCCCACACGAAGCAAAACAAACAAAAATAAGACAAAATACAACGGGAAAAAATAAATCTCAACCCCCCCAAGTGATATTTTCTGAAAAACAAAAAATTATCTATTCCGGTCACAATAGATTGGAGAGATTGGATCGGGAGGGGGGAGGTGGGAGGACTTGTAATTATTCTCGGCTGGATAATTTCTGGTTGGGTCGCGGTTTGTTTAGTTTGTCTTGTTTTTGTTGACCTGTTCTTTTTTGAGTGCGGTTAACACGGGAGGGGGCCCTCCGCCCCAATTTCGCTGCCGGATTGGAAACGCGTCGTCGCCGTCACCCGCGACTGTGCCGAGCCAGCGCAAGCGCCACAAGAAACGCTGCTCTTGGGTTTCTGTTTATTGGCCGGAGGGGATTTTCTTTCCGAGCAGAGAACGAATTTGGGAGGGGAGGAGAAGGGAGCAGGGGGGAGGAGGAGGCGGCAAGAAAAATGTTCTCGAAGCATCATCGTGCTTCGGCTCTCACAGAGCCACTTTGTTGACGCGACGGTAAACACGCCGGTCATGTCTCGGGCCAAGTCAGGCTAAATGTTATATAGATTTGTTTGTGAATTTATTTGAACGTATTGGCGGTACACTGGTGTGCAGTATAAAAAAAAAATCTAATTTTTCGGAATAATTATATTTTTTCCACAATTCGCAACCACGGTCAGAAAATCTTGTGGGGTTCGTCAAAATCAGTTCTCGTGATGTCGAAGCGGTCGAAAACGAGTGCCAGTTAACCGCCAATACGTCCATTTGTCTTTTTTCACAATGTTATCCCGATTTTACTATCAGCGTTGCGTCATGAGAAAAGGAATACATTTGGAATCTCCAGGTGTAGCAGATATCCTTCGTGTTAAGAGAACGGCGCACGGTAGCTGATGAAGAGCTACCTCTGAGACCTCTTCAAGTGACCTCTGATCGACAGAGCCAGGGACAGCATTTTTGACCTGCCCTACTACAGAGTAATGTTTGTCTCATGGAAATCACTTAATTGCAGAGCCGACTTTAATGTTTTTTTGTGTGTGCTGTCATGGGTTAC